CAAGCTGCGACCTGATTGACAGGCTAACCTCCACCCCTTCACTTTTAAGTCTCAAATTGACAACAGATTATGTAACTACCATAGTTTCTTTAAAGACTAGCAAAAGAGGAGCTGATACCAAGGGCTCAAATAGAAAGTAAATGTTTAGAAATGATGTTGGTAACATATGTACAAATATGCTTGATATAATTGATGTATGGAATGGTATAAGAGCTGTAAGAGCCCCCAATAAAATTATTAAAAATAAATAAATAAATAAAATTTTAAAAAAGACTAGCAGTGTAGTCAGTGGGAAGTATGTGCCTGGCTGTACTTTGAAGATGAGACTAGCCAGACCTGCTAATGACTTCTACATGGGATTTGAGGGTAACAGAAGGACCAAGAAAGCTAAATATTTGCCTTCTTGCCTTGGGCATATTCGGTGAGTCAAACAGAGATGCTGAGAAGGTGGAGCACAGGAGAGCCCCGAGGTAGAGATTTGGGTGTCGTCATCTTTACGTGGATTGAAAGGATAAAATCACCTCCGAGTGAGAGTGCATCTCTGGGATCCCTTCCAGCTCTAGGATGGGGACTTTCCTAAGTCATGGAAATTCAGTCCTCCACACAGATCAAGTGACGCTGCTTCTCAGAGTTGTTCAGAATTGTTTCTAAGAATCAAACAAAAACCTCAGGATATTTGAGATGACCTCATAAGCAGGCTTGCGCCTTAAGTTCTTTTCAGCTGTCACATAATTCCAAGTGTGTCTAGCCTCTTGGAAATACCAGAAGAACATCACCTTAGCCTTTAAAATCTGTAAATGGCCACAAGGAATGTCTTTAGCCCAGAATCCCCTGAAATTGTATGCAAAACCTTTGGATTCTGTGTTGATGCTTTTTGCTGGGCCTGGAGCCCATAGCTTTCAGTAGATTCTGCACGGGGGCAGCAAGCCACCCCAAATGAAGAATAGAATTTTCTTCTAGATAAATAGTGGCCTTTGTTTTCTTCCAAGCCTGATTTTCAGGTGTAGATATCCTACTACCCTGGGGTTACCACATAGGCCTTCAGGATTAGCTTGAGATTAGTTTGCTGGGTTTTCAGATACTTGAGTTGAGCACGGGCCAGATTGCTTAAATAAGTGATGTGCCTGTTTCAGTTTTCTTCATTGGCTTCCTGCCCTGTTCTTTGCATGATCCTGTAAGGAGAGCTACTTGGTGTTGGTGCTGGACAGGTCTTCTCCAGTGCGCTCATAGGGACGAATCTGAGTAGGCTTCCAGTTGACAGGGCTGTGCGGATGCATCAAGAGAGGGCATGGGGTCATGGAAAGAGAGCTCTTTGGGTGCAGAACCTGCTCTACCTCTTACTGCCGGCATCACCTCCACCAACCCGCCTCATCTCCCCCTGCTTTTGCGTGCTCATCATGGAGCACATCAGCTGTGAGAAGTATGTGCGACACTGGATGCTTAGAAGGCACTCAAGGGCAGCCCTTTCCCCTGCAACCTATCGTTGTCAATTGTGGATGATAACAAGGGAGTGCTTGATAATCTCAATATCATCTGTCCTTTAAAGCAGGATAGATGGATGGGTAGACAGAAGAATAAGTAAGTGGGGGAGGGAAGGGATAGATTGATTGGGTAGATTGATAAATATGACAGAAAGGGGAGGGAGAAGTGGAAGAAATGAATTATTTATTTCACAACTCCCTAGAGGCCTTAGCCCCAGCTGAAGTATATCATCTATTTCTAGCTGTTTGTATAATTCATGTGAGACCAGGACTCCGGCTCAGGCACCGAGCAAGTCTGGTCCAGTAACAACAGTAAGAGTGTCTTCACATTTCCTGCTTGGCCAGAGTTCA